GAAACAGACAGATAAAGCAAGTTAAAGTACGAAATTCTTACTACTTCAAGTCCGAACTTTAACTAAGCGTTCATTGAAAATCCATCGATTCGACCAAACGATAAAAAACATATTCACAATTTTTTTGCCAAATAGAAAAAAAGTGTATATATCGGCGTAAAATACCAAAAAATTAAGATCCAACGGGACTTATTTGGTCGTATGTCAAATCTTATCTTACGCTTCTACTCATAATTAATGGACAACCTAGTTAGAGTAGAGCGGGTAAGCGTTAATAAATCGCAATCATTTCTAAAAGAATATGGAATGAAATGAGAGGAAAGTTATTTGAAAACTGTGATAAATAAGTAAATATAACATTGAAGTCGATTTTTCTCTTTATAGAGAATGCAATCGAAGGAGTGATTCAATAATACCAAATCCGCAGCGTGATTTTTTAGATACATATGAAATCACGCTCGACCATACTGTAATAAAACACACGCCAGTTGGTTTAACACTGACTTTGTTTCTATACTCTATACCTATACATTATACATCTTTCGCTTTCTAAAATAATTTTATAAACAATAATAAAATTACAAACAAAAATAACTATAAGAATTGTTCTCCTATTATATGTATATTAAAAAAAAACAATATTTGACCTACTAATCACATAATAATTATGAAAGAATTTTTTTTAATCTATTATTGTTACAACAATAAATAGTGACATAATACACAATTATTGTGATAAATAAAACATACGACCGAAAACTTTAAAAAAATTATAACCTAATTATTTTTATTTACTAACTTTTATATATATTACTTAAACCGAAAAGTTACATCCGAGAGTTATTTTGTATCATTATTATTTTTCTTTTTTTTCCGCCAACATTCGTGCAGTCCGTTCCTTGGACTTTGTTATGTTCACAATTGGTGATGGTGGTGAAGAAAAACATTCTGTAAATGAGCTATCAGTACCAGGAGTAGTAGGAGTACTGGGCCGTGATGACGGCGCTCTGTCTGTATGCGGACCCACTTGAAAGTCTGCCTGAGTCTCGGACCCAACCTTTCGTCGACGTCGTACGCCCCAGGAGGCAATCGTACTTTTGTCTAGAATGCGGGACTGAAACTTTGCAGTACTGGATGAAGTCCGAGACAACCTCGGTTTCCCATAATCCTTGGAGCGTAAAATAAGATGGCTACGCGTAAGTCGAAACCATTTCCCTTGTTCATCTTTAACTATAAAAGACATTGGCGCCTCGGCACGAGCTACTACTGAAACAGGTTTTCTACCAGCATTACATAATAAAGCAGCTATATCGCCCACCGATAAACGCTCAAGTGACTTCGTGGACTTGTATCGTTTTTTTAATTTTTTCTCAATCAGCCATCAAAGATTGATAATTGCGATCGTTATCTACTGGAGTTCTTAATAATTTTTCAGAAATTGGCAGTTTCATTTCATCCGTCACCCCATAAGCATCTGTGCCGGAGAATCTAAACCATTAATAGACTTAAATAAAAGTCTTGGCCTGAGAAGAAATGCGTAGAGCATTTCTTTAGCAAACTTTTTATAGTTTGGACGGTTCTTTCACTTTTTCCATTAGACTGAGGATAGTGGGGGATGAGGTAACGTGATCTATTTCCCATTCATTTAAAAAATTCTGAAATTCTTTCGACCTATACGCCAGCCCATTGTCTGTTACTATTTCAGCGGGTATACCGTTTCGAGCAAACTGCATTTTCATAAAATTTATAACATGTTTGCTACCGATACCGGCTAACTCCTCGACTTCAACATAATTCGAAAAATAGTCCACAAGGAGAATATATTTCTTTCTTTTATATTCGAATATGTCGGAAGCCAGTTTTTGCCAAGGAAAATCCGGCACGTGATGTTGCAAGAGCGGCTGGCGACGCGGGCGCGGCGCGTGTAGCGCACACGCCTTACCCACGATCCACGCCCGGCCAGAACATCACTTCGCGCGCGTGCCTCTTACACCGATCGATGCCCAGGTGACCCTCGTGCACGCGCTCTAACTTTTACTCCCGTAACCTACGTGGAATGAACACACGGTCTCCCTTAAAAATCAACCTGTCGACATACGACAGTTGCTCTCGATGTGGCCAAAATACACTAACGTCGTCACTCACTTCGCGCCTATGTTTTGGCCATCCGTTTTTAATATACGTTATTAATAATTTACGGTCACTATCCGTTTCGGTGTCCTTTATAGACTCTATTTTTGATAGACTGAATGGCATGTTCCTTAGCATAAAACAGGTTTGTACATTAAACTCATCAGATACATAGTTCTGTATTAACTCCCTTAGAGGGGCCCGCGACAGAGTATCCGCAATATACATGTACTCGTACTTGCCCGGTGTATATACAACTTTGATATCGAACCCTTGCACTCTTAACATCATACGCTGTAGACGTATCGGTACTGAAGTTAGCGGTCTTTTAAATAATGCTTCCAGTGGTTTATGATCAGTGTGAACGGTAATATCTGACCTACCGTATATGTACTGCCTAAACCGTTCGACAGCAAAAACTATCGCAAGTATTTTTTTCTCAATTCGAACATATCTAGTCTGTGTGTCCGTCAAGGTTAGCGAAACAAATTCTACAGGTCGCTCATTCTATAGAAGCACAGCTCAAATCGCGACGCTGCTAGCGTCCACCGACAATAACACTGGCGCTTCCGTCGAATAAATCGCTAACACCGGAGCACTCGCTATTTTTTCTTTTAATTTATCGACAGCCTCAGAATGGTAAGCCTCCCACACCCACTCGGCATCTTTCTTTAATAAAAACCGTAACACATTCACATATTCAGAGTAACTTTGAATGAATTTTGATAAATAATTTACCATTCCTAAAAATCGTTCTAGAGATTTTTTCTTTTAATTTATCGACAGCCTCAGAATGGTAAGCCTCCCACACCCACTCGGCATCTTTCTTTAATAAAGACCGCAACACATTCACATATTCAGAGTAACTTTGAATGAATTTTGATAAATAATTTACCATTCCTAAAAATCGTTCTAGAGATTTTTTCTTTTAATTTATCGACAGCCTCAGAATGGTAAGCCTCCCACACCCACTCGGCATTTTTCTTTAATAAAGACCGCAACACATTCACATATTCAGAGTAACTTTGAATGAATTTTGATAAATAATTTACCATTCCTAAAAGCGTTCTAGAGATTTTTTCTTTTAATTTATCGACAGCCTCAGAATGGTAAGCTTCCCACACCCACTCGGCATCTTTCTTTAATAAAGACCGCAACACATTCACATATTCAGAGTAACTTTGAATGAATTTTGATAAATAATTTACCATTCCTAAAAATCGTTCTAGAGATTTTTTCTTTTAATTTATCGACAGCCTCAGAATGGTAAGCCTCCCACACCCACTCGGCATCTTTCTTTAACCCCCTTACAGGTTAATAAAGACCGCAACACATTCACATATTCAGAGTAACTTTGAATGAATTTTGATAAATAATTTACCATTCCTAAAAATCGTTCTAGAGATTTTTTCTTTTAATTTATCGACAGCCTCAGAATGGTAAGCCTCCCACACCCACTCGGCATCTTTCTTTAATAAAGACCGCAACACATTCACATATTCAGAGTAACTTTGAATGAATTTTGATAAATAATTTACCATTTCTAAAATCGTTCTAGAGATTTTTTGTCCGTTGGATAAGGCATGTCCAATATAGCCTTTACCTTTGAATTGTCGGCTTTCATTCCATTAGCGTCAAATGTATGACCTAAATATGTTATTTCAGCAACACTGAATTTGCATTTGTCGCGGTTAAATTTAATACCTACATCTTGGGCACGCTTTAAAAGAGCTTCTAATCGTTGATCATGTTCATGCTGAGTTGATCCGTACACGATGACGTCGTCGATGGACGATTCGACACCTTCGAGGTCTTCCAAGTGTTGTCTGAGCTTTGCATGAAAAACTTTCGGCGCACAGCTTATGCCATAGGGTAAGCGCAAAAATTGGTACCTACCGAAGGGCGTGCTAAACGTACAAAGGTCAGCACAAGCGTCATGAATTTGCACCATCCAAAACCCACAGCGAGCGTCGAACACGCTGAACTCCCGCGCGCCATGCAGCTTCACCGCCAGTTCTGTCACTGTGGGCAGCGAGTACTGCGCGCGGCGCACTGCTCGGTTAAGCGGTCTAGGGTCTAGACAAACACGAATGCTACCGTCCTTCTTAGCCACTAAAACAATTGCATTTACCCACTCTGTCGGATGTGTGACCTTTCTAACAACACCGAGTCCTTCCATTCGTTTTAACTCCATTAATAACTTGTCTTTCATACCTATAAATATTTTCCTAGAGGGAGAAATAACGGGTGGAACACTTTTATCCACTACAATACTATATTTGCCAGGTAACATCCCTAAACCTTTAAACAAACTCGAATAATTGTCAATATTTATTTTAATTACTCCCATCGTAATACAACTTTCTAATCCGAGTAGATTATGACAACATGAATCGCTGACAAATAAATATCAAACATATAAAAAAAAATCAGTTTTAAAAATTGAACCTCGGAGATCAAAACGACTTTTGAACAAAAACAATCCTAAGGCAAGCACCAGTAAAGAGTCAGAAGAACTTTCACCTTTAATACCTAGGGCTCGAAGGAAACAAAACAGAAACCTGTTTACAAAAAAGATACAGGCAAAATGGGTCAGTATATCTTCGACACCAGCGTTCTCGAGTCAACATTTAAAGGCAGCGAGTTTTGTGACATGCATAAAAATGATTTATTTTTAACAGACCCACACACTGTGGAGAACGTTCTTTGCCAAGGAGAGAAAGTAAGATCTCAACTAAAGGGACTCCAGCCAGTACAAATATTACAAATAGGAGATGCTCTCTGCTCTTTGAATAAAGCTTTAGTCATTAAAAAGAGAGGCCAAAATTCAGGAAAAAAATGACGAATATACCTTAAATAGACTAACAGAAATGTGTGCAGCATATGCAGCACAGCAAGGTGAAAGCTATAACCCAAAATGTGCTATGGCAGTGTCCCTCGGTTTAGACATACACAAAGACAGAATACTATACTACAGTGCAGCACCAGGAGCCGAGCATTTCTCTGAAATATTTACATTTCATCCATTATTGTGTGCTATAAAGCAACTTGAGTCCGGGAAAGTTACAAAGGAGAATATTGCCAGGATAGCTGCTGTAAAGAATCATTTAGGCAAAACATTAGCAGTTTTATTAACAGAATCCAAGGCCAGCCTAAATGCAAAATTGACAAAGTTTGGAACAGGTGACAATAAACGGCAATACAAATTGTTGGTTATTATAAACTACCTTTAGTTTTACAACGCCTAAGACAGGTAACCGGTTTCCTTTGAAGGAATACACTCTCTTTGAAAACGGGCAAAGTTGTTTAATCGAGAAGCCAATACGTAAATACTAAAATAACACACCCTATTTTAACTAAAAGTTCTTTGTTATTACATTTCACGCTTTCGACCCATTCTTTAGTCGACTTACCGCATTTTTGACCTCGCTTACGGTATCAACATAGAACATTTCCGAGTTACTATCATTTTCTGCAGAGCCCAAACTCAAATTATGTACCTTTTTTACTACACCGTTTTGTTTACACATCCGTGAAAAATTACCTTTTTTATCACACACAAAACACATGGCTTGACGTGCCGAGCACTTGTCGCCGCCAGCACAGCGCACGCTCCCGCAGCGCGCCCATGGCTCCGCCGCCGCCGGCGCAGGCTGCAGCGCTGGACAAACGCGCGCCGCGCGCCCCCTTCTGAACGCGGTCTGCGCTCAGCCCCTGCCGCTGCGCCAACCGCGCGTCCCACGGCGGATGCCTTGAACTGCATCCACCTGACCGTTCTCCGCCTCGTTGCAGTCAATACACAGAATTTCTTCCTTAGAAATTTCTGCCACTTGACAAATTTGTATCGCTTTCGATAACGTCAAATCGTCTGTACGAAGTAAACTCTCGCAGCAGGCTCTCGTGCAAATCACCGAAGTCGCATTGCCGACTCAGTACTCGCAAAACGGTCACATATTGGTCGATATTTTCTCCATTCTCTTGAATGCGCGAGAAGAATTTGAACCTTGTTACTGTTATATTCGGTTTAGTACCAAAATAACTATCGAACTTATTCAAAACGCAATTGATATCGTCTTCGCTTTCGCCCTCTTTGAAAGTAAAATCGTGAACAACTCGTATCCTGCCGAGCCGAAGAGGTTAACCAACAAACTAGCCTGAATCTCTTTAGGCTCTTTGCTCACTCCAGATGCTTTTAAAACAAAACAATTAACCTTGCCCAGGGCCTCCAGTGTTTAAATCAATCAATAGAATAGGAGCAATTTTTCAAGAGATTGGAGACAACTTTTAAGAGAGAGAACAGAAAAGGAACGATATTTCAATTTGAAAAAATGAAGAAATCAGAAGTAAATAAAAAAAATTATCTAGTATAATAACCTAATGACACAAATTTTTCATTTTTTTTTTTAGAACAATTGTACAATTTTCATAGTAACATAATGCATTGACATGCACTATTCAAAATTGTTTAACGAATTGTGGAGAGTTAGCGATTTTTTTACATTCGCGTATTTCCATTTTCATTTTAATAAAACAGTAATTAAATCAATTACATCTCAACAAAAAGAGACTTCTTTTCAAAATTTAGATTATTCGATTAATACTCATTTATCTTTACGTTGTCCTAAATTTTGTTTAAAAAAGTAGTTGAATCGAAAGTAATGGATGGAGACTTAAAAAATGCATCCCGTATTCTATTCCCGGACAACATCCTGGCTCCTGGTAATGTCGAAACTCTTGAAGGCCTTCGGCAGAAACATCCTTCAGTCAATCCCTCTCAGAATTTACCGCTGCCTGTCAATTCTTTTATGCAACCTTTACAAATTTCTGAAAAAGACACTTTATACGCTATCTTGTCATGTTCTTGGCACGATACAACGTGGAGCAGGATTTTATGACAATTTAAATTTTTAGTTTTAGTCTTTATATATTAGTTTTTTTTGTATTGTGTGTAATGAATATTAATTGTAAATGTTGTAACATTAAAATATTATGTAATTCTTTTCATAAAGTAAAAATCTAAGATATATGAATATATTTGTACACACGTTTACATCATTTAAATACCAATGATTGGATAAGCTGGTTGTTAGCTCCTAAAGGTCTAAAAACCACAAACGAATGGAACTGGTCAGTCTATATACGTACACTATCACTAGATGAATCCGCTAAAGATTATGAGATACATCTTGCCTATATAAGAACCTTAACATCAAGATTCAATGATCAGTAAACACAGTTTACTAGAATAGTAATGAATTCTATTATAATGAATAAATAATCCAAGTTACATACAAGTGATGGGTGGCTATACCACATTATTTGGAGAATTTCCATCATCCCCAGCATCACTATTCAGTATCCAGATTTCCACATATATCTTATCAATTACGGACTTCTGATGATTTTCCAAAGATATATTCTACCTTAATTCAGGTCGTTAAACAAGTAAAGATAGTGCGTAATGATGGATAACTGTGAATTCACTAACTTTGGCGAGTGTGCGGTGGACTTGGTGGCTAGAAGATGGCCCTTCCCTATTCCCTATTCCCTTTTGAAATAGTTGTGTATCCAACAGCTTTCCAGGAAATGATGTATGCAGCATATTTTTTCATGGCAATTAAATCTCTCAATGATGGATCAGGTGCAAAGAAGTGATCTAATTCTTCATCTGTTCGAGTAAAGCTCTCGAAAGAATTTACTCCCTTCACGGTTGAGCAATTATTTTCAAGCAATGTGAAATAATGCCTAGCTGTTACAGCATCTGCTAACATCGGACGGTCAGGCGCAGAGAACGTACCTAGAAAGCTAATGTACAATGGTGTATTAATGAAGAAATTCATGCACACAGAGAAAAATTATGTAAGGGAAGAATATGCTGAAGACTTTCTGTCGAGGATCCGTAATAGTTTACGTCGTGTAAGTTTGCGCAATGATGAATGGATGCAAAACTTCAAATACACATTGCGCGAGCTGAACGTATCTCCATTACCTCGTACCTTTTGGATATGGCTGAATGATGAATGCGAATTCATGTTGCGTGCGTACGGGGGTCTCTTTTCTTAGGCTGTTGGCATTTTATTATCACGTTATCCCGTTCTGCGCTCTGTCAGGACGCCAGACGAGATAATAAGCATTCTTACGTATATACATATGGGATCGTCACTCCAATTGACCGTAAAGTCGACATGCTGATATTACTTAGAGTGGGATTTGAACAGCGGGTTGTCAATTCAACTCTCGATCTTAGATTTGACACTTAAGACGATATTTTTAAACAAGAGAAAACAAATGTAATGTTCTCTGATAATTTTCTCGCATCGTTGAATTTGATGACAAAGGCACATATGGTTACGATATCCTTTTCGTTAGGTATCGATCTGCTTGGAAACAGCTTACTTATGGTTTTCGGGTCACAATATTAAATATGGATGACTCTTTCGCGAAAAAGAAACTTTCTTAGATTCCGTTTATGATATGAGTTACAGTAATTATTTTTTTTCTTAAAAACATGAAATAGTCTTACAACGACCGCATAACTTTTCGAATAAAAGAAAATTTAAATCTATTTTTAAGCTTTATTAAAATAAAAAAAAAAAAAAAAAAAAAAAAAAAAAAAAAATTATATCCTTGTAAAAAACGAAATCAAAAAAACCAACAATAATACTGAACTGATACTTTTGATACCGTGTCCTATTAAATTTTATTCAAATCTCAGCACGAAAAATTCAACAATAGACGCAATCGCAAAAAAATCGATGAAAACTATGCCGGACAGGAAAGTCTTTAGATAACAGGGTATAACAGATGTATTACACACAAATGAAAATTTTTTATTTACACTATTCGAAAATATCAATTTTAAGAACCATACAAAAAAACCGAACAAGCGGATCTTTTCCGATATTATTATAAAGTCAATAAACCGACCCGTATAAAATCAAAACAATTAACCTTGGCCAGTGTCTCCAGTATTTAAATCAATCAATAGAATATGAGCAATTTTTCAATAGAGTGGACACAATTTCAAAAAAGAGAAAGAACAGAAAACTGAAGGGATGAGAAGGTGAAGTAAATAAAAAAGAAATTCGAAAAAGAAAAGAGGAATTGCAAAGCATTAAAATTTAAAATCCTTCTAAGTTCAAGCACCGACTTCAGAATGTGAAATTATTTTTTTCTTTTTAGTTCTTGAAGTTGGCTTTTAGTTTTTATTTTTAAGTTAGTTTTCTGCCTGTATGATTTATTAAGAAATATCACAATCACAATGCCATCTAAATGCTTGCGTTTTAAAATTTCATCTCATATTTTCCCACATTCAGCTTTGACGTATTAAAGACAATCACTTGACTTCAAGTCACATAGCCAAATATTAAGTACATAAAAATAAATGCGAGCACGGAGCCATAAAATGACTTCGTGAAAATAGCTGCAATAGCCGCCCAGGCCCCCCTCTCTGCCCCTCAGGTACACCATCCGCCGCCAGTAATCGCGACATACCTCGAAACGAGGAACTCTTTTGCCCCCCTTGAGTCTTCTGCCCCCTTAGAGATGGAGTACGCATGCTCCGAGTCCTCGGCGCCGGCCTCCCGGAAGGGGCCCGCCACCACTTCAGACTCCGGTTCATCGGAGTCCTATGACTCCGACGGAACGGGGGAGTCTACATTTACCACCGTTAATTCCAAGCGCAACAGTAAGCGCGCCGCGTTAAAACGTACCCCCCTATCTCAGCGGCCCCTGCCGCTCCTACAACCTCCGCAGCCCCCGCCGCTGCCGCCATCCCACTTATGTCACTAGACATCCCAACTCCGACAAAACCATTCTCTCGATGTGCACCAGTCCTTGCTAAGAAGCAAGTCCCGCCCCCTGTCTTCCTTAGAGATAAGGCAAAATTTACCCAACTGTCGAAAACCTGCTACGACGCAGGAATCAAAATCATACCCAGCTCGATCGAGGATTTCCGTCAACTCACCAGGCTATTCACAGCCGAAAGAGTCTCTTATCACACTTACGCTCTCCCGGAAGAGCGTAAAGTCAGGGCCGTCATCCGAGGCGTCCCTTTCGAATTCTCCAACGAGGAAATCCTTGAGGACCTTAAGTCCTAAGGCTTCCCCGTGGAAGCCGTGCACAAAATGCACAGTAGAACGGGCAAGAGATTCAACCTTGCCCTAGTCATCCTATCCAACGTGCCGGAGGCAAAAGCCATCTTCCGGCAGGTACGCACAGTGTGTGGCCTGTCGAGAGTGAAGGTTGAGCCCCCACATAGGCCCGGATTCCCGGCGCAGTACCACCGCTGCCAACTATATGGTCATGCGGCGGCCAACTGCTCCGCCCCACCCAGGTGCGTTAAGTGCCCCGAACCCCCACAACACTAAAGAGTGTCCCCGGCCCAAAGACGCCGAATCCCCGCCCGCATGTGTCCTGTGCAAACAGACAGGACACCCGGCTAACTACAGGGGTAGCCCCTGCGCACCTCAACCTCGCCCCAGTAGGCAAGCTCCACCGCCGGTCAATGACCGCTCATTCCCGGCTCTCCACCAACGGCCCCGTCAGGGCCTTTCTCAGCCCATCCAGGGCTTCTCTCGGCCCTCAAAGGGTCCCCCTAGGCCCCCCAGGGCATAATTCGGCCCCCCTCCGGGCTTCTCCAAGTCTATGCAGCCTCCAGTCTTCCCCTGGGGCCCTAAAAAGAGGCAGACCCACCGCGGACAACCTCCTACTCCCATAAGTCAGAGCCCACAGCTGATGACTACAATACACTGTATTCCGCTATTAGGAATATTGACATCAGGGAAATCACGGTAGTAGCAGGCAAACTGCGCGCTGCGAAGTCCCCCCAAGAACGTCTCCTCGCTCTTGCAGAGCATAATAATCTCCTGTTAGCGTTGTAAGTTAAGTTAACTTAATTAACTTAACTTCAATGTCAGAGCAAATTACTCTACCAAAACGATTTCTTATATTTACGCGAACACTACACATTGAAATAATACTAGTTTTTACGGAATTTATCGCGTATATTTAACTTTTTAAATACCCGACGTTTCGAACGCTTTACAGCACTCATGGTCACGGGCAGGACTGAGATGTTCAACGTCCATATGTCATAGTTAACCGCGGTTACCATAGATTAAAATTTAACTTTTGTTCCGATCTATGCAGTATGAACTTATGGTATCTTGAAGTCTTGCTGTTGTATGCTTGGGTTGGGATTTAATTTTATTTATTATAGGATCCCAAGCAGATGGTAGCACCCAGCCATCTTCTCTATTGAAATTAGGATGTTTTTTGATTTCAATAGCCTCGCGAATCATCCTTGGAAGGAATCGGTGTTCTTTAGCGAGGATCTGCGGTCTATCAAATCTGATGTAGTGACGGAGGCGATCCTGTACGTGTTCACAGACTGCAGACTTCCCGGAGCGTCGATTCTTCACATCAGCTATATGTTCTTTAACGCGGGTTTTTATTGATATTTTAGTTTGTCCTATGTAGGAGAGACCACATTCACAATCAAGCTTGTACACTACTGCATCTTGCAGAGGGACATTACACTTGACCGATGGTAAAAACTAACCAATCTTCTTCAGCGGCTTGAAATATGTTTTGATGGAGGCGCGCTTCAAGATGTAGCCAATCTCTACCAGTATTATTTCAATACTCTACCAAAATCTCACGGTCGCATCAAACCTAAGGGTTTATCGCTTGTATCATTTAATATTCGCGGTTTGCGGAATAACCTCCCAGAGCTTAAGCTCTTTCTTCGGAATCGTGAAGCTAATTTCCTCCTCCTACAGGAAACTAATCTCAAAACCAGGGACACTAAAGGCCTTTCTATTAAAAACTTCTCTCTTCTTCGTAATGACAGACCCGACCGCCGAGGCGGCGGAACGGCCATCTATTATAAGAAGACACATCATTGCACGCCCATTTCTACTCCGCAGCTTACCAACATGGAAGCCACGGTATGCAGGCTAGCTATGACTGGACATCAGTCCATCCTCATAGCCTCCTGTTACATTCCTTCAGGAACCCATCCCCTCAAAAAAGATTTTGAGGCGATCTTATAGGCAATTCAGTCATTATGTTTGGAGACTTTAACTCCAAGCATACTGAATGGACATGCCGTACTACGTCCCCCTAGTGGCAAGATACTGCTCGATATCACGCAGTCTCTTGATATTACCGTCCATAGTCCCCTCGGTGTTACTCACTTTCCCGATAACACCGATCACGCCCCCGATGGACTAGATTTTGCATTACTCCAAGGAGTTTCTCTCAACCTCAGAGCAATCGAGACACTAGACGATCTAGGATCCGACCACCTACCGGTCTCCCTCATTCTTGGCCATCAGCCACCTCGCCCAACACACACGAAAACCTTCACTAACTGGAAGGGATTCAAGGAGTCCCTAGCTAAAGCTCTGGACTCACAGGACTCTACCATCTCCCTACCGTCGGACTTAGACAGTCCCGAAAAAATCGACACCGCGGTCGATTCACTCTCCACCCTTATTAAATCCTCCCTTAAGGAGAACGAAAGGGTCGTCCCGGTTGCTAACAATAGTGGGCTTCCCCTACATATTAGCAACCTACTAAAAGCCAAAAAAAGCTGCTTTCCAGAGAGCAGCAAAATATCCCACCCCCGAATATAGGCGCGCGGCCAATCGTCTTCAACGAAAACTCCGTTTCCGCCTCTCTGAATTTCGAGACCTCGAAAAAAGTAAACTCATGGAGAATATCTCTCCATCTCATACAGCGTACTATCAGATGGCCAGAGCCCTCCGCATAGACGCTATCACCCACACTCCCCCTCTCTCCCGTCCCGACGGCACGGTTGCCTTCGAGGACGAGGAAAAGGCTGAGTGCTTTGCAGATAGCATTGCCGCACAATGCTCTCCTAGCTCTCAACCCGTCGACTCCTCACACGTCCAGGCAGTGGAGGATGAGGTCCGCCGCCGGAACTCACCCCCTACGGCCTCCGCACCTATCTCTGTGTCCTATGATGAGATTTCATCCCTCATCAAAGGACTTAAGCCTAAAAAGGCTCCGGGCGCGGATGGCATCTCCAACCAAGC